AAAAGTTGTATTCATAAAATATACATAAAATAAAGGAAAGAGATTAAAAGCAAAACTATAAGCATAGCAAAAGAGACACAATAAAAAAATCCCAAGCCTCAACTATTGGCACATACTTGAGACCAATGATTCTTAATCAAAAAGAAAGGTATTCCTTCAAAATCCTTCGTTACGATAACCCAAAGAGAAGCAATGAAAGTGATTTTATCCCATAAATCTTCCCAAAAAGTCTCACTCTTAAAAAATTCACCAGTTTTTGTCCTACCACACTATGCAAAATAAAGCTAAAGTTACACATCTCCATAAAATCTTAACTTTGTTGCTTTGATCAAAGTCAGCAAAATGAATCTCAAATATCGAAGTACAATCATTCGAACTCACCCAAGGAATACCAAAAAGTCCCAATAACCTGCTCCACAGTTTATAGACATAGGAACAATGCAAAAAAGATGATCCATACTTTCCTCCCCACCTTTACTTATAGAACACCACTGTGGTAAAAGACAAAATGAAGGTCTTTTGTTTTTGTAGAACATCATTGGTATTGAGTCTCTTAGGTGCAAGCAATCAAGCAAAAACTTGTACCTTTAAAGGAGCCTTAGACTTCCAAATTATTAACAACAATTGAAAAATTGGGAAGCAAGGTTTATCAGCCAAGGCCTCAAAAAGAGATTTACAAGAATATTCTTCTGAAGAAGAAATAATCCACTTACTTCGGTCTAAAAACGAAGGATTCAACACAAAATTATCAAGGATACCCAAAAACAAAGGCATCTCAGCAATCTCTCTGTCATTAAGGTTTCTAAAAAAATCAAAATTTCAACTAATTGTCATGGAAAATGATGATACCACACTTAAAATAAGAGGAATTATGATTTCTAGACAACCTATATAAGATAAGAAACATGGACGCAAAGGATGAAACACCCCAACCCCCAGTATCCTCCCAAAACTAAATTCTCTCCCCATTATCCATGGCATACTTAGCATAGGTAGAGAAAGTAGATAAGCACTGTGAAATGTACTTCCAAGGTCAGTGAAAACCACCTCTCCCACTCAATTTGGAATCCTTATCATTTTGTTGAGTCCCATATTTACTTTTGATCATAGCATGCCATAGATTATTTATCTCAATGAGCAATCCCCATAACCATTTAGCAAGCAAGGAAATGTTTATATCCTTCAAGTTACCCAAAGCAAGACCCCCGATCTGGATACCAAGTCCCATCTCACCAAAGGATTTCTCTTACCTTCTCCATTATCCTCCCATAAGAAATCCTACATCATCTTCTCTATCCTTTTTACCACCTTCAAACGCATCCTAAATAGAGACATACAATAAAGAGGAATGCTATGAAGCATTAAATGAATTAAAGTGATTCTTCATCCCCTAGACAAATAGGCTTTCTTCCACCCATCTAATCTTTTTTCAATATTTGGATCACCGGCTCCCAAAAACTTAAGGAATTGAGGTTATCACCTAAAGGTAATCCCAAATACCTAAGTGGCCACTCCAAAATAGAGCAACCTAAGGCCAATCTAACTACCTATACATTAATTCCTCCAATTGTACTCTTAAACAAGTTCACTTTTAAACCTGATACCATCTCAAAAGTAAATATATATTATTATTCTTTTCATGTCCACCATAAAAAATGAATGAGTATCATTCGCAAACTTTAAATAATTCACTCCCACTTTTAAAACCTTCCACCTCCCCTCTACTACTCACCCTATCCACCATCCTACTCAACACAATCACCACCAAAGTGAAAAGAAAGGGAGAATCTCACAGCATAAGACCTCTTGTGGATTTGAAGCACCCTTTTGAAGTCCCATTAACAATAACTGAGAAATCCATCAATTTTAAGCAACACATTATCCAATTTTTTCATCTCAAACCAAATCATTTACATTCCATAACATAATTCGAAAAATCCCAATATGCCATATCATAAACTTTTTCAAAATCCACCTTAAAAACAATCCCCTCCTTTTTTTTATGATCCTCAACAATATCATTAGTAATAAGTACCACATCCAAAATTTGTCTTCCCTAACAAATGCTCTTTGAGACACAAAAATGGCTTCCTCCATAATCCTAGAAGACCTCTTTCTTAGAAATAAGACAAATAAAAGTCGCATTGGTGCATGAATTCACAATTCCATTATCAAAACATATCATTAAATCCCCCTTAGTTACCTCCCAACACTTTTGGAAAGCTGTCATAGTAAACCCATCCAAACTCTGTGATGTATCCCCACTTAACTCAAAGAATGCATCTTTAATCTCTTCCTCTCCAAAGTTCTCTCAAGCCAAATAGACTTACTCTCTCCAATAGGATGCTAATCAAGGCCCTCAATAATTGGTCTTTGAGAACCTTCTGAAAAATACAACATAGAAAAAAGCCACGATTTCAATAGTTAGAAGATTTTCATCCCCAATTACATCACCAGATTCCGATTCAATTCTAGTAAACAATTTCTTTTTCAATTTTCCATTTACTATTCTATTAAACAACTTAGAATTCTCATCACCCTCCTTCACCCACTTAACTTTAGTTCTTTGTCTCCATTTAGTTTCCTCCTTCAACAACACATTCAAACTTATTTCGGAGACTACAGCTTTCCCTCTTTACACTCTCTTCAATGCCACTTGAAAATTCTAACAAATCAATGTCCTGAATCCTCAAAATACTTTCTTTTTCCATTCTAAGATCACCAAACATGATCCTATTCCATCCTTTCAATTTTTGCTTCACCAACTTCAATTTTAGCATGAATTTAAATCCTTCCTAACCCTCCATCACAGCCTAATCCCACCAATCTTTAAAATTTCTTACAAAAGTGTAATGTTCAACCCACATATTCTCAAACCTAAATGGCATTGGATCCCATCTAACAACTAAAGTATTGGATAATGATCAGATATAGCTTTAATCAAAATCTCGTCTCACCAAAGGGAAAAACTCCTCCTACCCTGCTGTAAAAAAAAAAACTAAACTAAATAAAACAAAAACCTATTCAGTTTGCTACAAATGTAATTTTTTGAAAATTAGACAACGTGAAATTAGCATTTAACAAGCAAGAACCAATTAAGTTGCATTCTCCAATACAACCATCAAACTTTCTCATACTAGTAGCACTCCTACTCCCGTTCATCCTCCTCAAGACAAATCTAACAACATTAAAATTTCTCCAAGAATCCAACTAGAAGCACATAAACCAAAAATCTCAAAAAACTCTTCCCACAAACGCTCTCTCATTCAAGGTTTTTCTGGCCCATACACACTAATCAACATCCTCCAGACACTTAAAATTAACAGACACAAAAGTTTCCCAAAACAACCTCCACACCTTCAAAATTCTCTCATCCCACATAATTAACACTCCCCCTAACCTACCAATGTTCATTCCTTAAGTCGAGAACCCCACAAACCTTTTAAAATAACTCTGTCAATTACTTATCTTTTTGTTTCTTGAAGAATTACAACGGGTGCCCCAACTTTTCTCAATATCTCTCTTATCACCCTTCTCTTCTCACTCTTCCCCAATCCCCTAGCACTTCAACTTACTATCTTCATTAATCACAACCATTGCCCCACTCTCTCTCCTTGAATTAAAACCATCATAATTAACTTCAAAAATTAATCCTCAAAGTTCCCTCATCCCAATATACTTTTGCCCTTCCCCTTGCACCTTCCTTTCCCTCTACCTCGATTTGATACCAAGGAGAGACCTAACCTCCCCAATAACTCCTTTAAGTTTTTTTTAGCTCTCTCATCAGCCATAGTATGTCCCCCCAAATGGGGATGGTCTTGCATTTGGTCAATCCTCTTAGCATTGACATCTTTGGACTCACCTCTAATATGGTCCTACCCATTTAAATCAATAGTATTAACATCCAAATCTTAGCAAACACAGGATCAAGCAACTCAATGGATAGAATGTCATTGTACTGTGGAAAATGTATTCTCAAACTGGCCTGGGAATTTTGGACACGTGGAGGAAGATCAAAAGGGAATAAGTAAGATAAAGGATTCGAAATTAGAACCAGAAAAGACGTAGAATTGATATCCCCCCCGCCCCCTTTCTCCCTTACTCAACCCGTTTACAAAAGCAACTTGGTCATTAGAAATAGTAGCCCCAACACATTCCCCAATCTACCCGCCAAGACCTTAGCTTTAATCTTTTAAAGACACGTCACCAAACTAGCTTTTGGTAAAGATTGTCAAAAAACTGTAAAGTCTCCATTTGAGGAATAATGGGTGTTCTAATTTACACATCTTCCATGTTGAGATGGTCTCAGTTTAAAAAATCATGTAGAGATGATCCATTATTACATGTTGTAGGAGCAGTTTGTTCTTTCATTTTGCCTTACAGGTGAAATACAATCACGGTTTCATATGCCCAACCCCAAGAGCAGTGGACATCCTACTTCTAGACTACATTGATTCAGTTCATGTCATGATTAGATTCTTATGTTGAAAGCAACCATTGAACCAATCATTCACTCCCTTTCCCATTCATCCCAAAACAATTCCACCACATCTACTAAGGCATTATTAGATTGTAAACTCCTCAATAAGTGAATTGCCAAGGTCCATTTTTTTTCAACTACAATTTTTTCCATAACTAAATATTTACATTCCATTCATCATACCGTTCCAGCTTCCAAAATGGCAATGAGGGCAATGATCAAGTTGAAGATGGGGATATCCTAGTCTATAACTTGTCCTATAGCTATCCATCAGTATTAGGGCCATAAAAAAATTCAAAATCCTGGAGAGAAATTTTTGTTATAACTGTTATAAAAAAATTACAATCCGGCAAGAAATTTTTATTATACCATTAAGTCCCCTGTGGGATGCTAAAATTGGAAAGTGACATTATTACATGTAATTAAATTATAAAACTATTATCTCTGCTTCTACAATGATCAACAAAAAATTGTAGGACAAAAGAAAAATGAGAATGGATGTATGGGTTCAGTAACTTACCATATTTGATAGTTTTTGGAATTTTCTCTAGCAACAAAATCAACAAAATTCAATTCCTCATGCAAGTCGGTCTTAAGTGCTTCAAGTATAAGACGCCTAAATTGCCATACCTGAAAAAGAAGAATATTAGCTCAATCTAAACTCCTTAAATTAATAAAGCCTTGGTAAAGCATCACTAATAAAATCTTAGACTTGGCAACCTTCTCGAACAACTATTGACAAGGTGCCAAGCTTCCAAGCAATAAATACATTTTATCTGACAATATCTGAGAGATGCAATTGAATTTTCAAAGTTCTCTACAAGAGCAACATTGGTTTGAGATTGAAAGCAGTCACTCTAAGTGAACAAAAGGTTAGATAGTATTTAGTTTAACCATCAAACAACCTCAACCAATAAGGACGCTAACATGGAGCAAGGCCAAGTTAAGTAAAAACTAGCTACCTAAAAAGATCTCTCACTGCACACTTTCTATATATTTGTCTTCATTATCGACAACATGTTCTAGTTATGAATCAGAGGTAGAACAATGGAGAGGTTACAATTTAAAATTCGCTATTACTGTTTGTTCATTATAGATAGGGTCTAAAAGTTTGTTCATTATAAAAACTAACTTGAGAGATGCACTATCTCAATTCCAATTCAACCCCCCCTAAAAAAAAACCCAAAAAAAAAGACAAAAGAAAAAAAACATCAATCATCACCCATCTTTAGGGACCCAACTAATGGCATCATGTTCTGCCTCGTCACAGTGAGTGATTGCTATTAAAAGAACTGGATAAGAATTAGTATAGGCTGCTATCCTAATTAAGGAAAACTGCTAAGGCAGGTCAGTAAGAAAAATTAAGCCCCCTTTTCAAAGCCTTCAAAGATAGCCAATTTATATTTATCAATTTAACATTTTAAGGGATGACTTATGATCAAGGTCCAACAATTTGGAAGGGTCAAAAAAACCAATGCGATGACGAGTTTGAGTAGTCAGGGCATGGTTCATCCTCTAAGAGATAATAGATGAGGTTCAGATAGATCTTCACGAGACCACCCACAAATCTTGAGAATCACATGAGGGGTTTGAAGGCCCCACCGTATTCACGTGTTTACTGGTCAAGTTCAAGGCCAATCAAATCACCCCCTTCAAAGCCTTTCAAGGACAAGAAAATGGCAAGATCTATCTGAGGCCCTAGTTTCATCCCATTAATAGGTACGAAAACTATCTTTCTTTAGTATTTGCTCAGATTTTTTGTGGAAGGGCATTATGTTCTCAAATTGAGCGATCATATTAGAACCCACAGATTATCAACCCGACACTTTGTCAATTCATTGGGAAATGCATATTTGAGCTTAGGAGGTCATGTCACGACCTTTAAACTGAAACATATATGTTACTTGAACTCAATCCACATTGTCACTATTTGTTTACCCAGCAAAAATAAAGCATCTAGAAAGGGAGAGAGTGTGTGCAACAACTCATGTAATTTAACCTGAGGCAAGGGCAAAGCTAGGAAGGGACTAGTGCCCACCCTCTAATATTTTTTGTTATCATCAATGATATATACTTTCAAAAAAATTTAAGTAATTTTAATTATCTCCACCCTATTTTTTTTTATATCAACTATAAAAATTCATATCTAAATAACTACTAAATTTTGGACATGTTTTGAACTTCCATGGATAAATTTTGGACATTTTGAGATCATTCTATCCTTTTTTGAAAAGTTAAAAGAATTATTTGTTGTTGTATCAACATTAGTGTTATTCAACCTTCGACATCTTGATGACCCTCTAATGACTATGCTATCCTCCATTGAGGTGCAGGTTACCTTATTAGAGGTCCTATAGTCGATCACAACACTACACAATTGCGTAACCCTTGACATTTTTAAAATTTAGTTCTCAAGCATAACACGGATTGATGATCTTCGTCAAACTTGTTAAACTAAAAAATGTGTGAGATATTCATTAATTTACTTGTTACTTTGACATTAATTTTATCCATTGTAGAGAGAACATTTCTAGGAAATGAATATATTAAAGACTCAGTTGCATAGCCAAATCGATGGTTGATAGCCTAATTGTGGATATAGAGAAAGAGCGATGACATCGATAATGAAGTTATCATGCAAAAATTTTCATTCTGTGAAAGCTCAACTCTAACTCAACCTTGTCCAAACATTGTTGGGATCGGCTACATGAATACTCTTTCATCATTGGGGACATTCTTTCTACTAAAATATGAAGGCTCGTGGGGGTTAAATGTAGATAACTATGAGTAATCTATGTTTTTGTGAAATTCTGATAATTAATCCTTTTTTGTCATAGATATACTAACATTTTCCTGTTTGATAGATTTTTAATTATAAAAATATGACGTATATAGATATAAATGTATCATCATAGTTTTATCCAAAAAAAAACCAAAAATCATCTCTGGCTCCGCCCCTGAACTGATATACATATTACATGAAGTCAATCCACGACATCCCTGTTTGTTTTCCAGGGAAAACAAGCCCCGTAGAAATTTTATAGAGAAAATAAAGCAGTAAGAGAGAAAGTGTGTGACATAGAGTATAATTTAAACTGAAACATATGTATTAGTTGAACTCGATCCACGTCATCACGGTTTGTTTCCCAGGAAAACAAAAACCCATAGAAATTCTCAAGAGAAAATAAAGCACCTAGAGAGAAAGAGGTCGACATACAGTGTAATTGCCGGCGTTGAATAAGATGGCTTCGGCGGTGAGATGAAGAGCCCGATGAGACCGCTCGTCGGCTAAGTAAACGGCCCGGAAGTAGTCCATGGTTTCAGCGAAGTCATCGCTGTACGCGATTGGCACAACCGGGTTCGGACCGTCGTCTTGCGGGACCGGTCTCACGTCGGCCCATTCCGGTCTCAGGCTCAAGGGAATCCACTCGCTCTGGCTTTCGTCCGATTCCATTCTGAGTCAAACCGGCACAACTGTGTTTGTGTGTGTCGCCGCAGAGAGAGAGGAGAGAGACGGTTGTGTGTGAACTGTTAAGGCGTCAATTTATAATATAAAGAGTAATATAATTTCGAATTAAAAATTTCATCTTATTGATATAATAATGTGTCTTAATAAAATTATTCAATCAACACCAAATTTTAATATTTTGTGAATTAGGTCAGGTCAGATTCTTATAACATTGCTCTAATATAAAAGAAGAGTAATATTATTTAGATCTAAAAATCTAACATAATTTGTTAGTTTAATGATGTGGCGTCATTAGAACCATTTGATTAACACTTAGTTATAATATTTGATGGGGTTCACAATCAATCAAAAGATAATAGTAAATTAGTTAAGTAAATTAGGTGTCAATAACATTACTCATAAAAGAAACAAGTTTCAATAAGTTCATTCAGTGGTATCAAATAGATTCATCTGACGGTTATCAACATATCTGTTAAAATTATTTACATTGTATTATATTTTCATGCACGAATTACCCTATTTGAAAAAATTATACTACCCCACCAACTTTCTTACATTCATCGCATTCCAAACCAAAATGACAAGTTTAGTAAATTTTAATAATTATTAGTAATTAACCCTCTTATTTTTAGATTAATGACTGTGTCATATATCAATTGGTGAGTAATATTTGGTGAAAATTTTTGATATCTCTAACAAAGTTGAAACAATTGATCTCAACTAGATTTGAATGGTGAACAAATTTTATTTGTAGAACATATATTCAACTTCTTTACGTATCAAAATTCAATCGAAAATTTTGATTTATTAGATGTGAATAGTACATTTAAATTTTAACCTAATTTGATAAACAAACACTCAAGATGTAGATATAATTTAAATTAGAGTACAATCATTTTAAATAGGGTAAATTATATTCACTTCCTTTCAAGTTTAGTTAAATAACAATTAGACCTTCTTTTGTATGGAAAATAAGGCTAACCTCCTTTATGTTGTTGTTGGTAATATATTCTCTCAACCGTGATTGTGATGTTAGGGCAACGATAGGAATTTGATGATGTAAGCAAACTATTTTGTTAAAATGTCAATGCTACCCATGAGGTTTTATATTGTTGCCAAACAAACCATATCCAAGATAGGGGTCAGATAAACTTGTTACCAACCAACTTGCCTCTTCTGTCGAATCTGCCCAACCACCAGTAAAAAGTTTTGTCGGTGATTCCTCCATGAAACCCTGTGGTTGAGGGTAGGTTTGTTATGGTGGCTAATTTTTATACCAAATTACCAACAATTCGTGAATACAACTGTTACCCACATGACATGTTCTCTCTCCCTCCCCCTTCATGACCTCATTGGATCTCTTTTTCTCTCTCTACACGTCCCTCCAAACCCGAGCAGTCACCACCACCTTAGCAATTGTGAACACACCAATGTAACACTCTGGACCACCGCACACAAATATTGTTGATGATATTTAAAAATTAGCCAAGGTTGAGCTCAGCCAACCAACTAGGTCATATAGACTCGAACCATGCAACTCGTGATGAACAACCAGGGGTGCTCAGGTCAGGGACATCCAGCAACAAAGTCCTCGTGGGAACGACAAGGAAGACAACTGGTTCCCAGCAGAAGGCTACGTGTAAATCGCAACGGTCCAACATTCAAGCAAGCGAGCCGTAACCGCCCAAGTATTATCCACAATGACTACGCAAAAGACGCGTCCATTACGAAGAAATGGTAAGGATTGTGCCAAGAAATCAGGCAAGACCTTTGAAGACTACAAATAAGAGGCATATCCCTCACAATGGGACACAAGAAATTGTCCGTGCAAATACCTTGTGTAATCTTCCCCCTTGATTAATTAGAAACTTTCCCAAAGCAAGATACTCCTTTAAAGTGGATTAGCCAAGCTCCCAAGTTAGTGAACCACTATAAATCTTTTGTTTATAACCTCTTACCTCAATGTTATTCAATCCCCAAGAGCCTAGGAGCTCTAACTGAGCCTTCCAATGATTCTCAAATCACTACATATTGCAAAATTGCTCAAACTGTGCAACACACACACCATCAATTGAGCCTGTGTTGTGGGAACGTATGTTTCCTGCTAAAATTCTATTGATAAATTTAGTAATTAATGGTTTCTACATGCAACATGAGTAGAAATCAAATGAACCCTTTACTTTTGCAGAACCAACAAAAAAGTCACTACTGGGAGACAACAGGGAATTCCTCTAAACCCTCTGCCCAACCCCAAAATTAATCCACCAATGGCGGATCCCCCTCCAAACGATGAACTCGCGACTCTCCATCAAACCAACAATCACTTCCTCCAACAAAATGAGAATTTATTGAACCTCATTCGTGCCCAGGAACCCCAGAGGGCATAACCAGTCTAGGATGATCCCCACGAGGGGAACATCACCATCAGAATCCATTAAGGGAAATTACAAAAGAGAACAAGCATAGTCTTTCAGTTGACAACATCCGCCATTGAGCTTAGAGGAATGAGGAGGATGAGGAGATTCAAAGCCAAAATAAAGGAATTCTTACAAACGGATTCCCCTAAGATCCTCTCCAGCAAATAGGAAAAGAAAAATGTTGGGAACAACGTTTCAAAGAAATACAACGAGAGCTTAGCAACATGAAATAGGTAGTAAAAAATAAAACCCCACTATCCATGACACTTTATTTCAGTAGACAGAGTCTCCATTCACCCTCGAGGTGCTGCACTTCCCTCTCCCCTAGAAGTTTAGCCCAGATAGAAATCTTTGATGAGACAAAGGATCCTATGAACCATCTGAACACTTAAAAAAACTAAATGAAGTTACATGGATGCCAAAGACCCAATGCATTGTCAAGCTTTCAATATCACTCTGAAGGACTCGGCCCTGGCCTGGTTTAATAGGTTGGCCCCAACATCAATCTCTTCTTTCAGAGAACTTTTCGTTACATTTGTATCTCACTTAATAGGGCCCTGAACCTATCAAAAACTGAGCTACCACTTGCTAAATGTGAAACAACGGCTAGCCGAATCGTTGTAGAGCTACATCCAAAGGTTTAACTCATAATCCCTGAAAGGACATCCTTGATGAAAAGTTTGCCCTCACAGCCTTTACTGCGGGATTCGGAGTTTGGTCAAAGGATCTAATGTTTTCAATTGCCAAAAATTGGTAGGCCAATATTGTCGAGGTCTTGGCAAAATCGAAAAAGTATATTAATGGCGAATAGGCTCTCCTCTCAAAAGTAGGAAGCTTTATAGCTAATAGAGAAAAGGAGAAGAGAATGGATCAAAGTCTGAGAAAGGATAAGAGCTGAGAACGATCTCCAATGAAAGACAGGGATAGTTCCTTGAAAAAAGAGGCTACATTAGAGACCGCATAGATCTCCCACCTCAGGAGCTACAACCAAGATATGTCCCATGACAATTCACTCCCCTCAATGCCGCTGTGTCATAAGTACTCTAAGAGGTTTAGAACGAGAAGTTCTTGAGGTGACCACCTCGGAGGAAAGTAGACCCCACTAAATGGGATGTCATGAAGAATTATGAATATCACCAATATCACGTTCACCTCACCAATGATTGCATCCAATTAAAGAAAGATATCGAATTCTTAATCCAAAGTGGTCAACTGCGCCGCTTCATGGTGCAAGATAACCAGAATCGAGCTCACCCACCTCCTACACCTCCGCAACAATCTTCTCCATAGCACCAACAACCTATGGGAGAAATTAGGGTTATCTCTAGAGGATTTGCCTGTGGAGGAGAAACTAGCTCAGCCAGGAAGGCCGCATGCGGAAAGTCCGAGTTAAGGACATTCTGGAAATATAATCCATGTCCAAAACATCACGGCTGAGCATGGACATCACATTCTCAGACTCGAATTTGGAAGGCTACCAGCACCCTCATGAAGATTCCCTAGTCGTAAAGGCCATCATTACCAATTGAACCATCCACAGAGTTTTTATTGACAATGAGAGCTCGTCCCGACGTCATCTTTGCCTCAGCCTTCGACAAAATTGGATATCAGCAGAGACAAGCTCGAAACTAGTGAGAACTCATTTGCTCAGGAGAAAAAGTACTCCCCCTGAGCTCAATCCACCTCATTCTTACAATGGGAGACCCTCCATGCCAATCGATGACAATTGTATGGATGCTCTATCGGCATCTTTGAAGAACAAGTGTAAGGTCATGCAAACAATTATCAAAAGAGTCTCCATAAACTGTGAAATCATCCATAAAGACTTCTATGATATGCTCAATATAATCTGAAAATATGCTAACTATACACCTTTGGAAAGTGGCTAGGGCATTGCAAAGGCCAAAGGGCATGCGACGATATGCAAAAGTCCTAAATGGGCATGTAAAAGTCATCTTTTCTTGATCCTCCGAAGCAATTGCAATCTGAAAATAACTTGAATAACCATCAAGAAAACAATAGTAAGAATGACCAGCTAACCTTTCCAGCATTTGATCAATAAAAGGTAAAGGGAAGTGGTCCTTGCGGGTTAGAACATTTAATTTTCTATAATCTATACAAACCCGCCACCCATTCTAAACACGGGTAGGAATTAACTCATCATTCTGATTTTTCACAATAGTTATTCTAGTCTTTTTAGGAATCACTTGAACCGGGCTAACCCAATTGCTATCCAAAATAGGATAAATCACTCCAACTTCAAAAGTTTAAGGATCTCCTTCTTCATTACATCCATCATGGTTGGGTTCAATCTTCTTTGTGGTTGATGGGAAGATTTTGCTCCCTCTTCAAGTAAGATATGATGCATGCATGTAGGTGGGCTAATTCCTTTAATATCTACAATTGTCCAACCAATAGCCGTCTAATGCTCCTTAAGGACCTGCACAAGTTTTTCTTCTTGCGGTGCACTAAGTTTATTAGAGATGATCATTGGTAACGTTCCTCCATCTCCAAGGAACACGTACTTGAGGTAATTAGGGAGAGGCTTCATGTCTGGAATAGGGGTCT